CCTCTACTCCTGATGTTTGGGATTTTTTGTTATTGTTTTTTGTTGTTGTTGTTGTTTGGGTTTTTTGTTTTTTTCGAGACAGGATTTCTTTGTGTAACAGTAGTAGGGATGAGGGTGGCCTCGAACTCACTGAAATCACTGAGATCTGCCTGACTGCCTCCCAAGTGCTGGGATTAAAGGCATGCATCACCACTACCCAGTCTTGTTTGCTTGTTTGTTTTTACTCCAGAGCTTCTAAATAGGATGGAATTCCTCCATCAGACATCTCACCCTAATTAGCACAGAGTCGCCAGTGAAGGGGACGTGCACACCACAGTGCACACCCAAACCTCTCTTGGTACAGCCAGCAGAACACTGTGACTGTTGTGTTTCATTTTGAAACTGTCCTTCTCTGTCTCCACTCACTGGACTGCGAGTGCCTCGAGGGAAGGGTGTGCCCAGGACTTTGCTGCAGGAGTAGCGGTAAACTTGGTGCTTGATAAATGAAGGGGAAAACAACTCTGCAGGGATGCTCTTCAGCCTTGGGGCTGGAGAGATCTTATTGGTTAAAAGCACTTGCTGCTCTCACAGAGGAGCTGGGTTCAGTGCCCAGCACCCACACAGTGCCTCACAGCCATCTGTGACTCCAGTCCCAGGAGACCTCACACAAAAATAGAACAATTTTTTCCAGACAGGGTTTCTTTGTGTAGTCTTGGCCGTCCTAGAACTTTCTCTGTAGATCAGGCTGGACTCGAACTCACAGAGATCCGCCTGCCCCTGCCTCCCTTGTGCTGGGATTAAAGGTGTACGTCACCAATGGTGCACATAAGAAGTTCCAGGACAGCCAGAACTACACAGAGAAACCCTGTCTCAAAAACAAATTTTAGAAAGAAACATGAAAAAGTATTTTTATTCCCCACTCTTACTGGATTCCTCCTCTGCTAGACTTCATTCTAGAATGGAATTCTCCTGGTTTCATGGCAATGCCCACAAGAGGGCAGTAGAAACCAGAGCATGAAGACAGGGTGCCCTGGTTTCTAGCTCCTGCCCTCCTTCCACCCCAGACTGTGAGTTCCTTGAGGGAAGAGTGTACCCAAGACTGCATCAGGCATATATAATGAGTCCTGGTCCTCGGTAACTGCATCATCACAGGGATGACAGATAGACTTAGGGAAAATCGTCCCCGAGGATTCTTCTTGCTGCAAATCCAAGTGAGAGCTATGGCCGACTTGGGTGGCTGAGACCCGCAGCACAGAAATCTCCTTAGGTCACTAGGTGACAGAGCTGGGATGCCTGGGCCCCGAATCAGCTCTCTGTTTGTTCCTATCAGATCCGGTCTTAACAGCACTTAGAAGCTCCTAATTCCATAAACCTAGAAGTAAAATAGAGCAGGGGAGATGAAAATAGCAAGGCTCTAGAAGATCCAAGTCTCCCGTTCCAAGAGCCTGCTCTAAATGCTGGCGGTCTTGACAGAGACTCCCTATCCTGGCTAGTTTTACATCCGCTTGACACTAGAGGCGTGTGGGAAGAGAAAATGCCCCACCAGACGACCTGCAGGTAAGGCTGACGTGCTTTTCTTGGTTGAAGATGGATATAAGAGGGTCCAGCTCTCTGTGGATGGTGCCAGGCCTGAGCTGGGGGTCCTGGGTTTTAGAAGCAAGCAGGCTGAGCTTCCCTCCATGGCCTCTGCCGTGAGCTCCCACCCTGACTTCCCTTGGTGACAGACTGTGATTGGGCCGTCTAAGCTAAGCAGCCCCTCTGCTCCCCAAGCTGCCTTTGGTTAGAATGTTTTATCGCAACAACAGGAAGTGAACTAAAATACCCTAAATCCTGCCTCCACTCTGGGGTCCAGGGAGTGCAGGCATACGGCCCAGCCCTCAGTTATCTCATGTTGGCTTGAGGGTCAAAAGGGGGGGATGTCTCCAGAAAGCCACCCACACGGGCCGTGTGGCACCCTCTCCACACACCCTCATGCTGCAGGGACTGCCAAGCCCACTGTTGACTTCTGCCTTCCCCACTGATGCTCTTCATATTAATTCCTCCCAGGACCCAACCACAAATCCATGCAAACCTGAGCGAGTTCATCCCTCCATTCTGATCGATGCCCCATTGCTTCCCTTCTGTATTTATGAATCAATCATTGCTTCTCCCAGGAAGCAACCCTGGAAGTCTTTATAATACACACTTTCCCTTACATCTAACCTCCATTCCAATCACAAGCCCCATCTCCTCCTCCTAGCCTGGAACTCTGTGTTTGCGCCACTGTGTGGACTAAGATACACCCTGTAGCCCAGTCTTCCATCTGTAAGATGTGTCCGACACTGTTGAGAGGCTGGCCATGGAGGGCTGAGCAGACGCCGCAGGGCTGCCATCACTGGAACCCACAGGTTTGCGTCACAGACATGAATAATCGAATAACAGCGGTGAGAAGCGCTGTGAAGGAAATACAGCAGGCAGTGTGACGAGTGCTGAGTGAGATGCTTTTGTTTCTGAACACTTGTGTGTTTTGCTTGCATGTGTGGACACCCCATGGATGGTGGTTTAAATGACAATGGCCCCCATAGGTCCACAGGGAGTGGCACTATCAGGAGGTGTGGGCTTGTTGGAGGAAGTGTGTCATGGAGGGTGAGCTTGAGGTCTCAGAAGCTCAAGCCAGGCCCAGTGTTGCGTTCTTCCCCCTGCCTTTGGATCTGGAACTCTCGGCTCCCTCTCCAGCATTGTGTCTGCCTGCCCATTGCCATGCTTCCCACCCTGACAATCACGAACTAAACCTTTGAAACTGTAAGCCAGCCCCAATTAAATGTCTTCCTTTATAAGCATTGCTGTGGTCACTGTGTCTCTTCGCAGCACTAGAAACGCTATACCATGTGTGCAGTGCCTGAGGAGGCCAGAAGAGGGCACCAGATCCCCTGGAACTGGAGTTACAGAGGGTTTGTGAGCCACCCTGTGGGTGCTGGGAACAGAACTTAGGTACTCTGCAAGAAGAGCAAGACCTCCCAATCACTGAGCCCTCTTTGTGGCCCCCTGGTTTGGAATGAGAGTAGTCTCATATGGACTGGCCTCTGTACTATCTGAAGAGGACCTTGAACCTTGAACACCTAATCCTCATATCTTTACCTCCCAAGTGATATGTAGATTTTTAATTATTTAAAAATATCTGGGGGCTGGAGAGATGGCTCAGAGGTTAAGAGCATTGCCTGCTCTTCCAAAGGTCCTGAGTTCAATTCCCAGCAACCACATGGTGGCTCACAACCATCTGTAATGATACAAATATCATGGTGAAACCTATTTCTTTGTACAACAACTTAAAAGTCACATAAAATAGGGTGGTTAAGAGCAGTGGCTGCTCTTCCAGAGGACCTGGGTTCAATTCTCAGCACCCACATGGCAGCTCCCAATGTTTGTAACTCCAGTTCCAGGGGATCTGACCCCTTCTTCTGGCATACTCAAGTATCAGGCACACATGTGATACACAGGCATACATGCAGGCAAAACACTTATCCATATAAAATAAAAATAAAATTTTAAAAATGTATTAAATAAAAAACAACAAAGGAGACATTGTCCTCATTTCTATCAGGGATTCCTCCCAAGACTGAGCCAGCATTATAGCAGGCATTCAAGGACATCAAGATCACCATGCTCCCCCATCTTTCCTTTCTTCTCACGGGAATGGGCCCAGGAACATCTAATATGTATGTTTTCTGACCAACGTTTGCTTTGTCTGTTTTTAAGATTTGCTTTTATTGTTTTGTTATTTGGGGGGAAGGGGGTATGTGCACATGAATGGATCAGAGGTGTCACATTGCCCTGACGCTGGACTTACAGACAGTTGTAAGATGCCAGATAAGGGAGCTGGGAATTAAACTCAGGTCCTTGGGACCAGCAGTATGTGCTCGTAACCAGTTTTGTTTGTTTGTTTGAGATGGGACCACATGCAATAGTCTGCGCTGGCCTGGAATTCATAGCAATTATCATGCTCCATCATTCTGAGTGCCGAGATTATAGAGGCGAGCCGCTGCACCAGACGGCACACATGAGGACCAGAGGACAGCTTCCGGTGTGAGCCGCCGCACCAGACGGCACACGCGAGGATCAGAGGACAGCTTCCGGTGTGAGCCGCCGCACCAGACGGCACACACGAGGACCAGAGGACAGCTTCCGGTGTGAGCCGCCACAGCAGATGGCACACGTGACACACGCGAGGACCAGAGGACAGCTTCCGGTGCTGTTCTTGAGCCACTGCCCACTGTTATTTACCTCACTTTGTTTTTGTTTTTGAAACAGGGTCTTTCATTGGCCTGGGACCCATCTACGGGGCCAGGCTGGCTCACCCAGGAACCCACAGCCTCTGCTTCCCCAGTTCTGAAATCACACACACACACCGCCACACCTGGACTCTTTGTTTAATGTGGGCTCTGGGGCTTGAACTCAGTTCCTCCACCTTAGAAAGCAAGCATTTTGCTTTCTCCCCAGGCCCCTTTTTTTGTACTTCCTAAGCAAGGACAGCTCTGTCCATGCCAGAGACGCTGAAGTCTAATTCTGAAGCACAGAAGGAACTCCTCTAAAGCCGGGGCAGTGAGCAGCAAGTGCCCACAGGCCCAGCACCTTCAGAGCCATGGCTGAGGCAGGAGAATCATGGAAAATTCGAGGACAGCCTAGGCTACAGAGTGGGACCCTACTTAAAACAAAAACGAATCAACCTCCTGAGGGTTCCAGTTCATAACTTATGTGGTTTCTGGGTCTTCCTGTTCTGTCGCCCTTTTTAACCAATGCAAGTGAGGACAGCTAGGAGCAAGGGATACAAATAACACTCAGCCTGTGTTTCTGTTGCCATGGTGATGTTGACACGTGAAACTCACGTGAGCTCCTTTATACAGTGAAGCCGGTTGATTGCAGAGGCCAAAGAGTGAGGTCACAAACCTGAAAGGTATACACACACACACACACACACACACACACAGAGAGGGAGAGAGAGAGAGAGAGAGAGACATACACACACACAGAGACACGGGGTGGGGGCTAACTGTGCAAAGGGCTTCATGCCACCACCTGAGCTGTCTTGCTGTCTCTTATCCAGATATCAAATAGATGACCAGCTTGCTCCTAGAGCTCCCAAGAACAAAGTCCTCCCCCTCCCCAGAGGCCTGTCAGGTGTATGTTTTACAATATTCATGGCCCCTCTTGAGTTCTCACCGTCTGTCCTTCTGGCTGGAGCGAACAGTTCCTGCCACTCCCAACCCCAGGCCACCTCAGGGAGAAAAGGAGAAAGGCAAGAACAGCAGGCCCCACACACTGCACCCTCCTCTCCATGGCGCCCTCCTCCTCTTCCTCCTCCTCCTCTGGCCAAATGAAGGTAAGAGAGAGAGCGGGCGGGTCTGGATTTAATGAGCATCTCTGAAAACCTCTGTGGGAGGAAGAGGCCCACACAACTTGGAGACCCAGACTGATGGCAACAGGGCTCCCAGGCCTCCAGATGACCCTGCAAGACAGAAGTGGTTACGCTAGATTAGGATTGCGGCCTTTCCCACCTCACAGTAAGAAAAAACAGCTGGGCGGTGGTGGCGCAGGCGTTTAATCCCAGCACTCAAGAGGCAGAAGCAGGCAGATCTCTGAGTTCAAGACCAGCCTGGTCTACAGAGCGAGTTCCAGGACAGGTTCCAAAGTTACAGAGAGAAAGCCTGTCTTGGAAAGCAAAAACAAACAAACAAAAAATAAAAAAAAAAGAAAGGAAGAAAAAACAAACTACTAAAAATAACTCCAGCTTTCAGAATGGTTTCAGGAATTATCCTGCCTGTGAGGGGCGGGAATAAAACATGAGGTGCTCTGTCATGTTGTATAAGTAGGAGGGAAGAAAGCAGGAGGGAAGCTGCTCCCAACCTGAAGCTGGGGAAAGGCCTAGGTGTCGACTCCCTCCATCCCCCACCCCCCAGGACACATCCCACACCCACCCTCTCAATCTGCCTCACTAGATCCTGCCGCTAACACAGAGACACTCGGGGCCTCGGCCTCTAATCCCCCTAAACTGTCAGGGAAATGGCACACCCGCCCCACACTGTTCTGCTCTGCCGTTTCCCGGCTTGCATTCCTTCACACCTAGACCCATAAGCCCGTGTTGCTTGTCACAAGAATAAGGCTAACACCCACCCGAGGCTGGATTCCTTCTGGCTTCTCCCAGCAGCTGAGCGTTGTGGCTTTGCTAATTAGACTCCTTTCTTGTCTTTAATTAGCTGCATGTGAATCTTGTGGGGAAGTCTTGGATCTGTGAAATAGTCTGGGACGGAAAATCAGAACGAAATTATCTCTACTGAGGGAGAAAGCCTGGGCAACAGCTTACTCTACTGACAAGTCGGAGGCTTTGTCCTAACCGCACTCACTGGTGGTCCCCACTTTACAATACCATCTCGGCGCTCACCGCCAGGCCCTGGCAGCTGCCGTGATGAATGCCAGGAAAGCAACCCAGGCAAGGCTCATGCAGGTTGCCCAGTCTGGGCTCTTTGGCCGACTTGATGCTCAGGGAGCCACCAAGGGCTCAGGATCTGAGTCCATCTTAGAACCCAAATGAGCACCAAGTATTATTCTGATCTCCACTCGGCTTGCCAGTTGGTATCTCTGAAATACAGACCTTTTCTAGGAACACGTCTCACGGCGAGACGGCAGAAGAGGATCCTTCCGCCAGGAAGAATGTGAGCCACAGCTCTGCTGTGGCAGCGAAAGCGAGCTTAGAGCGCTGTGGGCTCCCAGGGTTAACCGCACCCAAGACACCCGCCCAGCTCCCACTCTACACAGTTTGACCCGAAGTCAGCTCGGCAGCCAAGTCCATTAAAAACCACCTGGGGAGTCTTCAAAACCTTGGCTGCTGGGCCCCCGCCCCAGACTAATTAAATAAAAATCTCTAGAGGCGGGGCCTGAGCATCGGTATTTTTCAAATGCTCCCCACGGCGGTCCTAACGTGCAGCCTGGGGTCAGGAGCCACTGTAAGATCCCCCGCGGATTAGGGCTGCCCGCTCTCATTTTAGAATCTCAAAACTCATTTGCCCTCCAAGAGAAGTCCTGCCTCGGTGCCACTCTGGCCTCATTCTGAGGAAAAGTCAGGGGGAAGAAAGGGACTTCAAAGAACAGCTCCTGTTGGGGTGAAGAAGAACCCAGGCCCCACAGAAAGCCCTGGGCTTGCCCAACTCTAAATCCCCAATTCAGCTTCTTGCTCGGGCACATGTGACACCCCGGTGCCTCTGTACTCACGCGCAGCAAATTCAAGGATGTTGTCTGGTCTTTTCAGAAACATTTCTCTGAAAAACAGGAAAAAAATAAAAGGAAGGCGGGTAAGGGGGGGAGGGTCTGTGGGTGTGGCCACTGCCCCATCTGGCTCTTTGGGAAGCAGATTAATGACAGGCCTGCCCATTCTAGAAGTCATCAATAAATCAGAGGATCTTCAACAAAAAACAAACCAAACCAACAAACCAGAGGGTCTAAGGTAAGGAACAAAACCATGGAGTGGCCGGGTGTGGTGACCATGACCATGCCATTAATCTGGGCACTCAAGGGACTTAGGCAGGCAGAAACCTGGAGTCCCAGGCCAAGCATCGAGTACCAATGAACCTAGGCCGTTTTCCTGCCACAGAGGAGCTGTGGAGCGGCCAGCAGGCTTTGTCACCTGACACACTTACAAACCCTGGACCAAACATGGCAAAAAAGAGTATCTTCCAGGACCCCAAGGATCTCATGCTGAGTGGACAGAAACGTGACCCTGGAATGGGCTGAGGAATTTTACCATGGCTTTCTCAAGGCCAGGAGACAACAAAGCTAAAAAAAAAAAAAAATTATTTAACAACTTTAGATGCTATTAGCTCTACTACACAGCAGACAGACATGAAAATGTTATCACCAGGATGCTGGAAGTGTCTGACAGTCCAGAAAGTTCTAGGTTTCGTAAAACATTTACTAATACTATATTGCTTTATAACGTCCCTGTAAAATGGCAATTATGTCTCCATTTCCCATGTAAGAAAGCAAGCCTCAGCCGGGCAGTGGTGACACACGCCTTTAATCCCAGCACTCGGGAGGCAGAGACAGGAGGAACTCTGTAAACTGAAGGCCAGCCTGGTCTACAGAGCGAGTTCCAGACCAGCCAAGGCTGTTTGAGAGACCCTGATGTGGGGTGCCCTTCAGTATATGTGTTGCTTTTATCAGTTGATGAGTAAAGCTGTTTCAGCCAATGGCTTAGCAGAGTAAAGCCAGGCAGGAAATTTGAACAGAGATAGAAAGAGTAGGTGGAGTTGAGGAGATGCCATGTAGCCGCCAAAGGAGAAAGAGGTATGAACATTACCAGCAAGCCACGAGCCTCATGGTAAAATATAAACTTTTAGAAATGGGTTAACTTATAGCGAAGCCATTGATCAAACAATTATATTTAACATATTAGCCTCTGTGTGGTTATTTCATAAGCGGCTGTGGAAACTAGCAAGTGAGAGAGAAATTGATGAGGGGAGGAGCAGCAGGACAGAGAAAACCTCCAGCCACAAGACCCTGTCTTGAAAACAAACAAACAACAAACCAAAAAAGGTTAATCATTTGCCCAAGTTTATACAGACAATAAACACAGGAGAGGGCCAGGTCTTGGGTGCCCGAGGCCAGTGTTCCCTCCTTGTTTGCTTTGCCTCTGGCTGTGGTGGCCACCAGCCACCTCCATTTCCAGGTGCTCTCGTGGCCAAAGTCCAAGGTCCAATAATTTTGCTTCCCTCCTCCTTCAGTTCAATTAGACGATTACTGAGTCTAATTACATGCAACTATAATTTATGAGAATGATTTTAAAGTAAGAAACAAAAAATCGGGGCTAGGGAGATGAACTAAACCTCTGAAACTGAAGAACACTTGCTGCCCAAGCAAGAGGCCCTGAACCCAGAGCCCCAGTACCCAAGTCAAAAGCTGGGTCCTGACCCGGTGTCTATAACCCCAGCACTGAGGGAGCTGGAAGCCAGGGGATCACCTGAGCTCTCCAGTCATCAATCAGCCTCATGCCAGATTCAGGGAGACCCTGTGAATGAGACATAGAGCATTTGGCCTCCGCATGCTTGTACAAGTGCATACACGCGCGTACACACACACATACACACACACACACACACCACATAAACACATACACCATACACAAACACACACACCACACACACACACACTACACACACACATACCACACACATACGTACCACATACACATACACCATACACAAACACACACACACAAACACACCACACACAAACACACACCATACACACCACACACACACATACCACACACATACGTACCACATACACATACACCATACACAAACACACACACAAACACACCACACACAAACACACACCATACACACCACACACACACATACCACACACATACGTACCACATACACACACCATACACAAACACACACACATACATACACACAAGTGCGTGTACTCGGGTGAGTGAAAAATACAGGCCTTCCTGGAAGACCTGACAAACAAAAGGTAAGCTTCCTAAAAGGCCAAGGAGCCTCAAGTGGTTACTAAAAGACTATTAAACAGTGCTTTGAAAGAATGGTGTGGTGGTGTGAATAGAAACGGCTCCCATAGGCCCATAGGGAGTGGCACTATTAGCAGGTGTGGCCTTGAGGTTTTAGAAGCTCAAGCAAGGCCAAGTGAGTCTCAGTCTCTTCCTTCCCGCAGATCCAGAACTCTCAGCTTCTTCTCTAACACTATGTCTGTCTGCATGCTGTCAGGATTCCTGTCATGATAATGGACCGAACCTCTGAAACTGTGAGCCATCCCCAGTTAAATGTTTTCCTTTATAAGAGTTGTCATGGGGGGCTGGAGAGATGGCTCAGTGGTTAAGAGCATTGCCTGCTCTTCCAAAGGTCCTGAGTTCAATTCCCAGCAACCACATGGTGGCTCACAACCATCTGTAAAGAGGTCTGGCGCCCTCTTCTGGCCTTCAGGCATACAGACAGAATATTGTATACATAATAAATTAATTAATTAATTTAAAAAAAGAGTTGTCATGGTCGCCAGGTGGTGGTGGCGCACGCCTTTAATTCCAGCTCTTGGGAGGCAGAGGCAGGGGGATTTCTCTGAGTTCGAGGCCAGCCTGGTCTACAGAGTGAGTTCCAGAACAGGCTCCCAAAAAGCTACAGAAAGAAACTCTATCCTGAAAAAAGCAAAAAACAAAACAAAACAAAAAACCCCCACCGAAGCTGCCGTGGTCATAGTGTCTCTTCATAATAATAGAAAACCCTAAGACAAGACGTTCCTAGTCCAGGGAAACAGCAAGAACCAGAGATGCAAACAGCACTGTGGTGTGACTGCCCTGAGGTTGGCAGCTGGGTTGTATCTACTCTGTCTACTTCACAGTGCCAGGCAACCCACTGCCCAGCGTAGTGCAGAAGTGAAGGACTCCTGATGGAAGGTGGGGGCAGGGTGGGGGGGCATGCGCTTAGCACGAGGCAGTGGGTTGCTGGCACTGTGAAAAGGGGAACGGGAATATGTGTTGGACTCACACAATCACAGAATGGAGACAAGATCGAGTAGAAGGAGGAGGGCACAGAGTGGCAAGGATTTGTGCCATTAGAAACCAGCAGCATAACTCAGGCCACCACCTGGGAGACTGAGGCCAGCCTGGCCGGTGTTGTGAGACTTTGTGTGAAGTCATCATAGTAATAAGTAACGGGTCCCTTTAGAATAAAAATGTAAGTATGATCCCCACATCTGGCACTGGCAGATGACACACACACACACACACACACACACACACACATATATATATACATATATCAGGAGAGAGATAGAAATACAGATAGATATATAGATTTTTTAAAAGACAGATTCTAAGTATGTAGACATGGCTGATCTGGAACTCACAATGTAGACCAAATGGGCCTTGAACTCACAGAGATCTGCTTTCTCTGCCTTCTAAGTGTTGGAATAAAAAGTCTGCATTAGCACACCTGACTTGCATCATGATATTATCTGCCCTGGCCGCAATGGATCTGTTCTTCAAAGAGACGAGATCTCAGTGTTCACTAACTCCTTTCCTACCTGTTGTGTGACTCTGAAACTCCTCCGAGAAATGGCCAAAATATGAAGACTAGTGAGATCCAAGGAAAAGCAAAAGGGACTTGGAAAACCTGGTGGTTTCTGGGGCTTGAACCAGGGCTTCAGGCATGGCCAAGTGAGTGTTCTGCTGTGGGGGGTCCCGCGTGCACCCAAGCAGACAGCACCATATGGTGGAGAGAGCCAGGGGCTGGAACACTTGGCTCTTTGGTCGGAAGCCTGAGAAAGAAGTACACTTCCCGTCTCCGAGCTTAACTTGTCTCATTTGCAAAATGGAAACAACAATGTAAACTGTCTTTTATTTATTTTCAGATTCATTTTTATTTTATGTGTGCCTTTTTTGCATTTTTGTAAATGTACTACATGCATGCCTGATGCCTGTGGCATCCGAAGTTGTCAGATCCCCTAGAACTGGAGTTACAGGCCGTTAGCCGCCATGTGGGTACCGGGAACTGAACCGAGGTCCTCTGTAAGAGCAGCAGGTGGACTTAACTGAGTCATCTCTCCTGCCCCCATTAGATGGCTTAAAAAAATAATAATGGGCTGGGCATGATGGCACGCCTTTAATCCCAGCATTCGGGAGGCAGAGGCAGGCGGATCTCTGTGAGTTCGAGGCCAGCCTGGTCTACAGAGTGACAGCCAGGACTACAAAATTAAGCTCTGTCATAAATTTTCTTTTATAGAGTTGCTCCGGGGGTGGGAGGGCGGGTGAGCAAATGTTACCAAGACGCCCTCACAGTATGGATACTGTGGAGACACACAAGGTACCACTAGCTTCGAACACTGGGCTAATAACATAAATCAGAGACTGACGACACCGTTACAACAGTTTGACGGCTGCTGACATAGGGAAACAGCAGAGTCTAGAAATGGACACCAGGGTTATTTCAACCGCGCTGACCTGGCGGTAGCAAACAAAACTCGAGCTAGTGCTCTGGTCTCCATCCGTGTCGCGTTTCTCCAGTTCTTTTCCTGTTATCTCATTAGGAGATTATTTCAAGACAGGGTCTCACTATGTAGCCATGGTTGGAACTCTCTCCGTAGACCAGGCTAGCCTTGAACTCACAGAGACCCAGCTGACTCTGCCTCCCATGTGCTGTAGCTAAAGGTGTGTGCCGTATCCAGTGTCTTAGGTCCAGTGCCACCACCACTTGGCCATTTTGGTTCTGAGATTTTACTATTCTGATGGAGTGCACTGAAGAAACATGCCCTAGGACACACTGGGAAATGGGAGTTCTATTTGTTTCTCTATTAATTTTTAGCTTTTTAAAGAGAGGGTTTCACTCTGTCATCAGACTAGCCTTGAATTCCAAACTAGGCCGAACTGGTGCGTTTGTGTAATTCCAACACCTGGGAGGGTGCAGGTAGGAGGACCATCACAAGTTCAAGGCTAGCCTATGCTACATAAGGAATTTGAGTTCAAGACCACCCTTGGCTATATAAGACTCTGTTTTAAAAAAGTAGGAGGGGGGCAGTTTTGCTGTTTTGTTTTTCCTGAGTCTCACTATGCAACTCAGGCTGGCCTCGAACTGAAGATTCTCCCTGAGGGCAGCTGTTAGAATGTCTGACGGAAGACGAGAGCGCGCATTCCCGGCGAGATCTGGGAAAACCCTTACTAGCTCTCTCTGGACGACCTGTCAACCCGCCTACCTGAAGAAGCCGCTAATGAGCAGCGACACCTCTTTGTGGGTCCTCAAGTACTTTTCATTTGCGATGCGAGTCTGGATCTGAGGAGCAACAACCAAGAGTCAAAGGTCTGGGGAGAGAGATCCAGGTTTCAAGCCTAGAAAGAGGTATGAAGAGGGGGGACAAGCCAGGTCTTTTCCTGGAGTGTTTGAAACCCGGAGCAGTTTTCAGATTTTCCTTTGAGGCAGCCGCATTTCTTTTCTCTAAAGGCAGAGAGTTTCGTAGTGCCTGGGCTGTTCTGGACCGTGATGAAGCTGGCCTTGAAATTCTCTGCCTCTACCGCAGTGCTGGTGTGTGTGGTGGGTGTGGGGCGTCGGGTAGAGAGGATTGGGACCCAGAGGTTGGTGCAGGCTAGGCCAGCATGCTAGCTCCCACCAACTGAGCTACACTTCCTGTCAATTCTTTACTTGGCCAGACCCCTACTTGGTTCTTCCTGCGCTTTCATACCCGGTGGATTGGGCTCAGGGACACTCCATAGTCCTCGGGCGTTTATCTCCAGAAACAGACCCTGCTCTGCTCTTCCCGGGGTTCTCCTTCGAGGGACCTTTGTCCTGAGGAGCCTCACTTTGATCAAAACAGGTAGACGCACCTTGAAATCTCGCAACTGCTCTAATTGCTCTGGGCTCAGTGATACCGGCTCCGGCTCCCCAAAGAAGCGTTGTTGAAACGTCTCCATCTAGCCGCAGGAGGTTGTCTAGGCGACGGGCCGCGGAGAAACGAAGCCCCGCCCCGCTGTCAGCCCCGCCCCTGACCCCGCCCCTCTATAAGTCCTCTCCTTTCCTGGCTCTGAAGACAGAATCCTACTGACTGAAGCAAGGTGGAGGCTACTCTTCAGCAGAATGAACTTGGACTTGGGGTGCCCAAGGGATCACTTTTCCCAGACTTAAAGACTGATTTCTGAGTTGAATTGTATCTGAAATGCGCCTTTCTTCTTGACCCCACTCGACTTCAAATACTGCATTTACTTAGCTAGAACAAACCACAAAAGAGGTTCAGAGCAGTCTTTCAGAATCCAGCCCCCAGCTTGGGCAGACTGTGCTTGCGTAGAAAAATCTAGGCTTCTTCCCTTCCTACTGGCCCAGAAGCCAAGCACTCCATCTGTTCCATAGACAGACACTAGATATTGGAAGTCTGGGTTCCTAAAATACGAAAGCACCCCAGAGCGTGGAGGGAGCCAATCTCTGCAAAGACAAGAACATTTTCAAACTCAGAATGCTGGACCTAGCCAGCGCTCTGGCAGAATTTCCCTTTTTGTAATGACTTTCTCAGGTAGATCAATTTTCTCTTCACCCTAGGCTCCTCATAAATTGTAAATTATTTCTCTCTCGACTGAATAAGGGAAGGGAAAGGGAATGAACTGACTGCAAGATTTGTTCTTTTAGTATCTAATTAAGAAGGGTAAGCAAAGCCGGGCGGTGGTGGCGCACGCCTTTAATCCCAGCACTTGGGAGGCAGAGGCAGGCTACAAGAGCTAGTTCCAGGACAGGAACCAAAAAGCTACGGAGAAACCCTGTCTTGAAAAATCAAAAAAAAAAAAAAGGGTAAGTGAAACACAGAACCTCAGCTCTCAAAATAGCTGCCTGACAACATACACACACATACAGACCACACACACACACACCACACACACACATACAGACCACACACACACACACATACAGACCACACACACACACACACATGTGCACACCAGTTTCCCTTGCTCACAGAAATGGCACCCAGCAGAGACCTTCTGAGAGGCAGGAGACAGAATCCCAAAAGAGTCTGGGACTTGTGAACACTGCTCCCCAGAGCAAAGACATAGCGTGAGAAACAAGCTGAATGTCTGGCCATGGAGGGATCTCCCTGCGATCTGCTCACCTCTACATTTCCGAGAGAACAGCAGATGCAGGTGGGCCAGTCAGTGGCTGTAAGCGTTCTCCTAGGAGCCCATCTGGGTTAGCAATCATTTGAGTTGTTTATCCGTTTTTTTAGGAGAGAGAGTTAATGGTGAGAGGGAGATAAGCTGCCATCTGTCGGAAGTGATGTTTTCCCAGCAAGAGCAGAGGTTACCCAAGGGTGATAGTTTCTATAAGCTGAGGCCAACTTTCTCCTATCCCATAGAGGGAGCGGTCACAGTGAAATCCGCAGACTTGTAGGTAGTGTGGCCGTCACAGCCTCTCAGTTCTTGAATCTTTGAGATGTGGCTGTGTTAGATAAGCCAGAAATTTAAAATACACTTTGGATCTTGAAGGCTTTATGGAAGAAAATAATATAAACTATCATCTCAATAACTTTACATGTACTGCTTGTCAAAATGGTATTTTGAATAAAGTAGGTTAAATAAGCTGTCTTTGTGTATGTGTATGTCTGTTGTACACATGTGTGAAACCAAGTGGCCATTGCCCATTGTTAATCACTCACCATCTTCCTTTCACTGAACTTAGAGCTCACTGGCTGGCCAGGCCACCCACGACAGCCCAGAGAAGCAGGAATCCACATTCCCTGACTACCCAGTGAGGGGATTTGGACTCAACAATGCATCCAACATTTTATGTGGGTGCTAAGGACTTGGACTCAGGCCCTCATACTTCTGTAGCAAGTACTCTACCTCTGAGCCACCTCCCTAGCCCCATAAAATGATTTAAAAAACAAGACAGGGTCTCACTGTAGCCCTAGCTGACCTGGAACTCAACACGTAGACCAGGCTGGTCATAAACTCAGAGAGTTGCTTATATCTGCTTCCCAAATCCTGGGATTAAAGGCATAAACCACATCTCCTAGCTCCATTATTATTTATTTATTTTTCTTTTGCTTTTTCAAGGCAGGGTTTCTCTGTATAGTCCCAGCTACCTTGGACCTCGCTATGTAGACCAAGCTGGCCTTGAACTCAGAGATCTGCTTGCCTCTGCCTCCCAAGTGCTGGGATTAAAGGTGTGCACCACCACTGCCTGACTATTTATTTTCTGGTTTTTCAAGATAGGGTTTCTCTTTAGCTTTTTGGAGCCTGTCCTGGAATTCGCTCTGTAGCCAGGTTGGCCTCAGACTCACAGAGATCTGCCTGCCTCTGCCTCCTAAATGCTGGGATTAAAAGCATGTACCACCACTGCCCGGCAATAAAATTATTTTTACATGTAGTTTCCCGAAATGGATGCAATCTTGGGAAATGGAGGCTGGAAGATCAGAAATTCACTCTGTGCTACATAGCAAGGTTCGGGCCAGTTTGTGATACAGAAGACCCTGTCTCAAATAAATCGATAATTTGTAAAAAGTCAGTAAATGAGCCAGACATGGTGGTGCACACCTTTAATCCCAGCACTCCAGAGGCAGAGGCAAGACGGTCTCTGTGAGTTTGAGACTAGCTGGTCTATGTAGAGAGTTCTGTTGTAATAGGAGCGGCGGGGCTGCGTCCCCAGCACCCCGGCCGCCTGGCTAGCTTATGCCCCGAAATAACAACACACAAATTGTATTCTTTAAACACTACTTGCCCACTATATCTAGCCTCTTCTCGGCTAACTCTCACACCTGGATTAGCCCATTTCTAATAATCTGTGTAGCCCACGAGGTGGCTTACCAGGGAGATTCTAGCCTACGTCCATCCTGGGTCAGAGCTTCATCGCGTGTGCCTCAGAGAGCAGAGCTCTCATGTCCGCCCGGGAGAGGGGAGCATGGCGTCTCTCTCAGGCGTCTGCCCCTGAGAGGAGAGCTGTCGAGTCTGAGCTCACTTCCTCTTCCTCCCAGCATTCTGTTCTGTTTACTCCTCCCACCTATGTTTTAACCTATGAGGCCAAGCAGTTTCTTTATTACTTAACCAATGACCTTCCTCCATCAGAGTTCCAGGATAGCCAGGGCCACATAGAGAAAATCTGTCTCAAATCAATAAACAAACAGGTCAGCAATGTGATCAATGCTTAAAACACTTGCCACACAAACCTAAAGACCTGCGTTTGATTCCCCAGAACTCACATTAAGGTGGAAGTAGAGGCTCCACCCTTAAAAGCCGTTCTTTGCTCTTCACACATGTATTGTAACATGTGTGCATGTGTGTGCACCCACGAAGACAAATACAAATTGATAATGTAATTTAAAATGTTTAGAGGAGGAAAGGGGACTCCACAGAGTTGCCTTCTGACCTCTGCATGCAAGCCATGACACACACACCTCAATAATCAAATAATACAATAATAATAAATAGGAAGTAAATAAAATTTTAAAGTTAGCAGCTTTCTTGGGAGTAGTTGAGACAGGCTCTCTCGGTGTAACTCTGGCTGTCATGTAGCTTGCTATATAGACCAAGCTGGCCTTGATCTCACAAAGATCGGCCTGCCTCTGCCTCCCAGTGTGGGCTTATAGGCATGTGACACCACTTTTGTCCCCATTTAAAAAATTATTTTTATGTATATAGACGTTTTACTTGTATGTTTTACTTGTATGTTTGGGTACTATGTGCATGTATTGCTGCAGAGGCTAGAAGAGGGCATCAGATGGCCTGGAACTGGGGCTACAGATGGTTGTTAGTCATGATATAGGTGATGGGAACCGAACCTGGGGCTACAGACGGTTGTCAGTCATAATATAGGTGATGGGAATTGAGTCTGGGGCCTCAGAAAGAGCAGCCAGTGACCATCTCTCCAGCACCTTAAAGGCAGAAATCTTCTCATACATGGCAGCTTAGCTTTGACTGAGGAGGAGCTAGCTAGCTTGTGGATGGTGGGCAGAGAAAATCCTCTGCTCCTGGGGCTCCCCCTTAGTCTTTACCTCACAGAGCTCCCATCCCCCCAAGACTGAAAGAACTTCAGAGATTGTGCCCACAGCCACTCATCTTGGGGAGTCTGATTGACAGCACCAATCTGGACTGGACACTGAGCAAAGGATTGAGACCCTTTGCCGTCTGCAGCTGTCTCCCAGTTACTGCTCGGGAGGAGGAGCCAGAAGGGTTCATTGAAATTCATTTTTGTCGATGTTTAATATTTCAATTAAGATGATTAGGCCCAAGCCTGAATGAGCAGCAGGGAGGCAGACCAGCTGAGAAGACACACAGTAATGAGATCAGTGGGCCCATCCACTGGGTCCCCCATGTTAGCAGGGCGTGATCTGTTTAACATCTCCACAAATGCCAAGATCGGATTAGAAAGGCAAGAAAGGAGAAGTGGGGGTGGGGCCGGTGAATGGAAAGTTACTGTGGAGAAAGAGCTTCCCACTTCCTGGTCTGCTGGCACTGCCATGGCTTCTCCTGGCCACTCATCATAGAGTCCCCATTACCCTCACCTTCTTGTTTCATTTTAGGGCACCCTGTCAGGAGGACCTGCACATCTATCTATATGGTGAAGTGTGATCAAGTCTCCACACAGACACTCAACATACACACCTGCCGGAATGTAGTAGCTTCAGGCCATAGAAACCCAGGTTAAAGGAGGTGGACATGGTCACCAAGGAATGGGGGAGCAGGAGGAAGGTCACCAGGGACTCTCATGCAGTGCTTCAGGGGCACAGAGGGAAAGACAGCCAGCCAGGTTCACATCACCGCATTCCCACATGGAATTCTAGGTGTGGGACCCAGCCTACCCAGGCTGGAGTCTCAGCTGGATGTGTTTCCAGCTGTGTGACTTTGGGCAAGTTATTCAACCACTCTGTGCCTTGGTTTCTTCATCCATATCATATAGGGCGGTGTGTTTAACAAGTTAGGAACCTCACACG